ATGATCGGAGATGACGGCCGGGCCGGCTCCAGTGCCGGCCGTGGCGTCGCTTTCTACTGTACATGATGTATCCACAGCCATCCATCACTAGCGGGGGGATCACCGAAAGCAACGCCGATTGGGGCCTTTGGGCGATCCCCGGAGAGGCGCAGAGTCCTCCCCCGCCGTCTGTCACCGCTGTCTTGTCTGGCTAGCCGCGTCTAACCACCACTACTACACTTGCTCCTTCACACTAGCGAGCTGCTAACTCGTCAGTTCGATACTTCGATCAGTGCGGCATAATCTCTCTAAGCTCTCTGTCAATTCACCATGTGTAGGAGTACGTATGTATATGTTTCGTCAGGGGCTTACTAATAGCAGATCTGATTTTAACAATATTAGTCGGCAGGCCAACAAGGAGGACGACTCTGCCAGTCAGTAGCTAGATGATTCGAGCTGAATTGAGCTCTTTGTTAGGCGCGGTGTGTTCTGCTCTGCCTGGACATCGAGTGGCCACATCGATCGATCATACGCATCGCCAGTCACCTGTTCATCACCTCACCTAACAGTCATTAACCTTAGTGTGTCCTAGCTAGATGGATGGATTGCTTAAGCATCACTCGATCGAGATCGATCGATCGATCGAGCACGACGGATATATGTTGACAAGTACCCGGTGGAGCTATTTGACCTAACAAATTACACCGCAAGTACTACGATAAGCCATCGACCCAGAGCTAGTTAGCTAATAATCCGGTCTTGTGCTCGATCGTTTTTTCTCATAGAGAAGAATCCATGCATCTATCGACCGTTACACATCTATGTCCAACAGGGAAAAAAACGAGACTCGCGCTCCGATCCGTAAACGAAATTGGGACGGAGGGAGTAGCTAACGTAGCAGGAGATCATGCGAATGGTCTTGAACACGTTCGTACGTACGTAGAATTAAAGGCGACCGAGACATGTCGACAACCGGGCACGTGCCGTAGTGATTCGTGCTCCTCACACCGGCCGGGCTACTCCCAGAGCTACATGTGTTAATTGGCACCAAAATGGACCGAGCATACTCGAGCAGGCCAACGGATGAATGTCACTAGCTACCTAAACCGTATGTACTGTACCTATGCAAGACAAGAGAACCCTACCATAACTAGTTAGTACCTACTCGATCCGTCTCATAACAATTAAGTTTATTATTAATCATTTCCATTTATCCTAAAAAAGTTTATTTTTAATATATAATCATCGTATGGGAATTTGTGAAAGTATGGTATATACCGTGTGAGTAGAAAAGAAGAGGAATAACCGCACTGAGATTTGATGACACTACTACAGAATTGATTTTCATAAACGAGACCCCTAGAAGCTCCAGGTGAACCATAATGGTGTTCGCATGCAATAATCAATTTCCTAGTGTGAGCAGCAAACATCTTAAGAGGCATGCATGCCAAATAGCTTATTTTCATAAGCGGGCCATTGAGTTTGCGTAGTCAGATGTTTCTCTCTACCGTAGTGAGTATGCGGAAATGCTCCTCTCTCTCGTGCCATTATTTTTTTCCTCCGTTTCCTCTCCCTCTCTCACTTCTCCCCTCCTCCCCCGTCCAACCTCTCTCCCTCCCACACCCTCTCCTACTCCTACTCCTGTTAGGCCTAGCACTCCTCCCTCCTAGTACTCCCTTTCCCACTTCTACTCCTGGCAACGACGGCCTTGGACTGTTCAAATCCCTCCAGTAGCATCGATGGGAGGGACGGATCCGGTGGCCCTTCCCCCTCCTGTGAGGATCCGATGGCGACGGTGACGGGAAGGACAGATCGATCTGACGACCCTTCCCAATCTCGTGTAGCTCTCCCCGCCTCTCTGCCCCCCTTGCGCGCAGATCTGCCAATGGGAGGGACAGATCCAATGATTTCAAGCGATGACGGTGGAGGCTTCGACATGACAACGATGATGATAGTGGATTTGGGAGTGTCGACTTTGGCGTTCTAGGGTTTTTGGATTTTTTTTTTGGAATTCTTTTTTTCATCAAAATTATTTTTGCAGACATATGTCTTAAGCACCCGCTTGCGAAAATATAATTTTTGTAAGCGGTTGCGCTACCCGCATGAAAGAATATTGATTTTCGCAGCACCTATATGCAAGCGGGCCACCCAGACGCTTGCGTAAATCGATTTTGAACGTCTGTAAAAATTTATTATGTAGTAGTGTACGGTGGGGGTACATAGTTTTTTAGGTTTTGTATTGGTATGTATAGAACGAGTGAAAAATAAATTTATTTTAGGATGAAATGAGTAGTTACTTCGCCAAATATCAATTAGTCAATTACCATTGTCCAGTAGTACTAATGAGCTGCAACCACCAGACTAATCCCCTGCCGTGTCTAGGAGTACTCTACATGTAAGTTCGATGCTACTGAGTACTCCCTCTATACTAATATATAGCAACCTAAAATAACACATTCTGGAACTATAAATATAAATATAGTTTTATTAGTATGAATCAATGATGGATTAGATTGCTACATATTAGGACGGAGGGAATATCATCGTATTCCCAAGCGTTTTCAATCCGCGGGTTGGTCGACAGCAAGTACGAGTACGCGCGTACGTACGTCGTCGTCTGCATGCATGTTAGAACAGTGGAATTGAAGTTTCCACGCTGACAACAAAATGACAAGCTAGGCCTGGCCTGGGGTAGTCATTTTCCAATTTCCACAGGATCGATGCATCCATTGCCATTGCATGGGATCGAGGATGGCCTGCCATGGCAGCTGGCTAGCAGCACGTAGTAAGTACGTTATCCACACACGTATACGAGCAGCCCTGCAGCCGGGTCGTCCATGCCTACCGCCTCCATGGACGCATCTTGCATCAGGTGTGGGCCAAATACGTACGTTTTTGCAGGTGAATGCATAGCCGCACAGTGCGCACCGACGTTGGACCGGGGGACGCTGCTGCATCGAGCCCCGGATGGCGAACAAACAGTGGGCCGCAGGCAGCGTCGTGGCTCGCGCACGTCCGTGCGTGCGTGTGCGCACGCTGCGCGGCAGGCGCGCCGGGGACGGCCGTGCGCCTGACGCATGCAGGTACGTACACTGAGATCAGGCGTGGCCGCGTACCCGGCCGCGGCACGGGGGCCCCTCCCGGCCCGGCCGGGCAAGCCGATGTCGTCGTACTATTACGCTGTGGACAATGTCGTGCTCGCAATCTTACCCCGGAAACACGCACGCAAGCGGACGTCGTGCGCGCGGGCACGGCCCTGGCCGGCCCGGGGTAGGACGACGCAGCAAGGTAGGCGGGAGAAAACGACCCGCGCTTTCAAGGAGCGACGCGACGCGACAGCGCGGACGTGTGCGGGTGCAGGGTGGACAGCAAAACACGCAGCCTAGCTTAAGCCTGCCCAAATCGCTAGACGGACGGGGCCGGGTGCAGTTCTGCAGTGGAACCCACCGCCCCCGCGCCCCGCGGCCCCGGCTTGCACTACTGCTGTAATTAGCGACGACGTTAACCCGTCCGTAGAGCGAGCCGGACTGAGGAGAAAAAAGGTGTAACGCACGTTCAATTCGCCGACGTGTCCTGCGTTTTCTGATGTGGCCGCAATTACTATTCCAGGCAAGATGTTTCCAACGTCATCGATCGCGGCCATACGTACTACTCTACGTGCCAACAGGTACAGTACGTCTCGATACCTTCCAAGTTCCAGCGACCTCGCTGGCGCAGTGGCGCCGGCCGCACTGTCGCACCGAGCGCGACGTGCCCGACGCGAACAACCCACCCGACCGATGTTGCCATTACTTACCGGCCACCACGCTCCGGCTAGCGATCGAGAACTAGATAAGCTCGATCAACTGCCGTCGTCGCGCGCTTACGCGTGTGTAGCAAGCTAGAGCGGTCGATCGACGCAGGCGTGGTCGCGCGCGCGCGCGATCGATCGATGGAGACGGAGGGCGAGCGTTGCACGGGCGGGGAGGGGGCAGGTCGACGCGCGGGTCGTCGTTGATGTGAGCCGTGGTCCTTGACTCCGCGTGACGTCCCATGACCGCGACACGATCGGGCGCCGGGGCGACTATATCGTTCGCCCCAATTAATAATGGGGTCATGGACGGACACGCCGGCCCTGCTAGCTGCCGCACGCCGCCCTGTGCACTCCATCTCTCCACAGCCCATGCTTTGGCGGTTTCTCTTCTTCCCACTAACCTGACGCTTCTTCCTACCCTGCCAAATTCGATTCTCCAGCCACCCGCCATGTGCTATATGGACGGCGATGACAGACGCATGCAGATTACTTCAGTAGGCCAGTAGCTAGCTGCTGCCTTCACACATCAATGTCTTCAACAAAAATTACTGTAATTTTGAGAACAAATTACAGAATTGGAGGAGCACTGTATATATGCAACCGTGACGGGAAGGGTGTGCAATAATTTTCTGTGCAGATCAGATACGTTAGTTAAGAATGTTTGCCACGATAGCGTGACAGGCAGCGAGCATTCCAAAATGGAAAACCAAAGTGGTTGGTTCTACGTGACCATCTCGAAAGAAAGCCAAAAGCGTCGACGGAAACGAGAGGCGCAGGTTCAACCACGGCCCGCCCCACTTGCGTTGCCTCTTCCGGCCAACACACTGATCGAACCAATAGATGCGAACCCTCATGGCGTTATCCTGGGAAGTCCAACAACTAACAAGATGATCTCTCTCGACATTATGCAGATGCACTGCACAGGTCACGATTAAATTAAAACTTTTAGCTGAACCAATGGCTACTGAGAAGCAGATTTACATAACACGCAGGTTAAGACGTCAAGGGGACAGGTGACACTGTTGCTGAGCAGAATGATCTGAGCGCATAGCTCTCTACACGGCCACCGTACCGTTCATATGCCGGTACATTTAACTCGTACAGTACAGGGTAATGAACTGTACCGGCGTGTGAGGGCATTTTGGTCAGGTCATTGTCAGGGACAGCCTCGTAATTTTGCTGCCGGCCGGAGTTGTAGATATTTACCCGCTCGTGTTGTGTGATGCAGAGGAGCTGAGCGGGTGGAGCTAGCTCGATCTCGCCGCGCGCGCTCAGCTCGTCGACAAGGCAGCGTGCACCCACCAAGATAGCGGGATGATCCAGTGAGCGCGTGGAGGCGGTGTTTGATTCTAGATTGTTCTAGAACCGAACGAGCGAGCTTAGCTAGCTAGCTAGCTGCTGCTGCTTCGATCGATCGGTCGTTGCCTCATGCAGGAGTTCCAGTCCATCCCGGGGCTCGCCGGGCGGCTGTTCGGCGGCGCGGCGGCGGCTGACATCCGGCGCGCGCAGGCGCAGCAGGGCCCGGCGTCGCGGTGCGGCGGGATACCGTCGCCGGAGGCGGTGAAGTGCCCGCGGTGCGAGTCGACCAACACCAAGTTCTGCTACTACAACAACTACAACCTCTCGCAGCCGCGCCACTTCTGCAAGAGCTGCCGCCGGTACTGGACCAAGGGCGGCGTCCTCCGCAACGTCCCCGTCGGCGGCGGCTGCCGCAAGACCAAGCGTAGCGGCAGCTCGTCCGCTGCGTCCTCGGCCCCGTCGACGCCGACGGCGGCAACTGACAACGCCAAGAACCAGCGGCGCGCCTCGGCGTCGTCCCCACGATCCAGTAGCGGCGGTAGCGGCAACACGAGCCCCACGGCCGCCGCGGCGACGACCCCGACGACACCGGCCACGCCGTCGTCGAACACCATCGCCGTCATAAACCACGCGACGACGACGACGACGACGACGAACCCCTTCCCGACAGACGTGCCACCTCCGGCGCCGATTTTCGCCGACCAAGCGGCAGCGCTCGCGTCACTGTTCGCCCCTCCTCCGCCGCCGCCTCTCCCGGTGTTCAGCTTCGCAGCGCAGGCGAAGACCGAGGACGGGATTGCCTCCGTTCTACTCGCCGGACAGACGACGGCGCCCACTGCCGCCACCGTTGCCGACATGACGCCGTTCACGTCGCTGGACGCGGGGATCTTCGAGCTCGGCGACGTGCCGCCGGCGGCGTACTGGAACGCCGGGAGCTGCTGGACGGACGTCCCGGACCCGAATGTCTACCTACCCTAGCTCGGTGTAGTTACTCATCACGATCACCTTGATTAAGTCTTTGATTAAGCTGTGGTTAAAACGCTTCTTAAGGACGACCACTAGCTACCACTAGTATGTCTTTTACTACTACATTCATCTACTCTACTGTTCTCCCTGTAAGTTTTTTTCTTCTTTTCCTTGTCTTCTCTAGCTGCACTTCTGCTGCTGCAAAGGTACGTGTAACTGTCCAAGAAAGCTAACATTTGTGTATCTACTGCACGCGTGAAAAAAAAAATCTGAATTGGATCGATCATTGTTGCAACATCGCCATTGAATCGTATGCATGTCTAATAATTTTCACTGCTACTACTAAATCTGAGTGTTGGAATGGTCAAAGGTAGAGCTACTAAATGTCATCTGATGATTAATGGGGGCTAGTCAGCTAGCACGTACCATACCAGTTGGTTTGTTAAATTTGGCTAGGTGCTCAGCGCAGCCGGCCCGTGCCTTTCGCTCTCCGGGGAGTTTGTGTTGATGGAGATGTCACTGCTCGCTAGCTGGCTTAGCAGCTTACGTACACTGCTCTCTCTGTGATGAACCGGTCCACACTACCACTGCGTGCATTTGACGATCCACCAAGCGTCCAGGCCTAAGCATGGGCAAAACGCGGCTCGCTTTGTCAGTTTAGCAGTATCTACGTGGAGATTAGAAATGGTAAACGTACTACGTGAACTACTACTACACCACATAGTCGTTGCAGGGATGACTCCGGGTAGAATTTGGAGACAGTGGTGGTAATATTGTGTCACGGTATTAACTCCGGGATTACGACACGCCAGCAGGTCGCATCTACCGATTACTGTCACGCTGGGGTCATAATGTCCAATTGGATTGCCGATCAAGTCATGGCACTGCACATTGTCACCGGCCTACGAAGTTGACAGGGATCTGAAACCAGCAGAGTGATGGCACTCCGATATTATTTTCTTGCCGGATGATTCTGCAAGCACTTATGATTATCAGATCAGATCAGATCAGTTTTAGGTTTTTTTCTTCTTTTCGAGTGACCTGGATGTACTCGTAGCTAATACTACGAAGTACTAGTGCTCCAGATCATATCGAATTATAGGTTCATCGATCAAGAACAGTTGGACCCTACTACCAAGGGCCCAGCTCTTTGTCATTCTTTCACTCTCCGTCGCTGCATGCCTTATCTCGCTACAGGCCCTACAGTATCATTGGTTGCATGATCATAGATGAACCAATTTGTCAGATACCTGTCTATTTAGTTGCTTCTCCAGTGTTCTCAAGGATGATTAATAAAAAGAAAGTTGCAGCTCTAGCTGGTGATCAATTCACGCAAGGCCAGTTCGAACGCAGAAACAACTTGAGAGCAGAACAATTCTAACACGTACAGGACAAAAAGGACAAACCGGTCATGGAGCTAGCATAATGGCATGGGCGCATGCGTGCATGCCCTGCGACGCTAGCTTCAGCGTCTCTAATGGCAGGGCAAGCAGCGTGATGCGAGAAGCGAGCGAACACGCAAGAGTACAAGTACGGCAGCGTAACGAATTGGCCCCAAGGGTGGTTAACGATTGACTAATGCTAATCTCCCCCTACTTGCAGCAATGATTAGCACTATAATTAAACATTTTGATCAGGACAAGGGGTCTCATTGATCTGTTAGTTACGGCTTAGCCCTATCATGCATTGATGCAATGATGCATATGAGCCAGAACGAACAGCAGATCGACCAAGATAAAACTTTATTACAGTACTACTGCTCCAGTACGTATTGTTCTTTTAAGAGTAAGGGGTGTTTAGATTCAGAGGTGTAAATTTTTGGCGTGTCACATCGGATATTATACATGGTGTCGTATGTGGTGTTCGTGCACTAATAAAAAAATAATTACAGAATCCGTTAGTAAACTGTGAGACAAATTTATTAAGCCTAATTAATTCGTTATTAGTAAATATTTACTGTAGCACCACATTGTTAAATCATGTAGCAATTAGGTTTAAAAGATTTATCTCGTAAATTAATCGCAATCTATGTAATTAGTTATTTTTTAATTTATATTTAATATTTTATATAGGTGTCTAAATATTAAATGTGGTAGGGTGTAAAATAAAAAACTGCCGTTAGTACGCATCTCGCAGAGGCGAACTGTTGATGCTGCACAGGGCCCACCCGGAGAGGCACAGGAGATGCGTCTGAACAAGCTAGGAAGACAAGGAGGAGCAGTGGATTAACTGTGCAATCAGACTGTGCACCATGGCCTACCCGGTTGACGTCCTTGTCGGCGCCGGTAGCCGACGACGTCGTCAGCCGGAGAGGATGTGATTTCGAGTTACAACTTACATGTGACTAACAGTTTAACTTGAAACCTTAGCCTAATTACTACAGTAGAAAAAAAAGGGACAATTCACCAATACTCCGAAATCTAAAAAATCTGACGACACTGCTCCTCTTCCCAGCTCGCCGGACTTAGCTAGAGTACACCGGGTGTAGGACTGGGCCGACTCCGGCGACCATCCAACCAGGAAAAAAAAAACACATACCGAGTATATACCTGATCGAGATGTGATGTTAATTGGTTTGCCCGTACGTACGAGATGATGAATATGAGGCCCGGTGTTCTTTCGGAAGAAAGAGAAAGAAAGTGGACCGGTTCCGTGTACTATCCCGAAGAGAAGAAGTACAGATTTTTCTTAAAACGAGGCCGAGTTTAGTTTCAAATTTTTTCTTTAAACTTTTAATTTTTTCATCACATCAAAATTTTTCTACACATATAAACTTCTAACTTTTCCGTCACATCGTTTCAATTTCAATCAAATTTTCAATTTTGGTATGGACTAAGAGCAATTTTACGGTTCTTGAGGAGATACCATGAAGTACTATTTTTTCTATTTTAAATTTGGTACCTCATGGTACCTTCTCAAGTACCGTAGAATTGCTCATGGACTAAACACACCCCGAGTACGAGCAGTAGCTCTGTCAGTGTCCCTTGTGTTGTGATGAAGGCACTCTGGTCACATGCTAGGAGCAGAGGAATAGGAATTTTCCTGTGTACTCCTACCACCGGAAACAATGCTGCAGTGCAGTGCAGAAACGGTAGTATTCCCGGGAGGAATTTTTATCATGGCCATGCACCGACTGTCACAGGAGCTGTGGTGGCACCAGCACCAGTCGTCACATTCACTCCGACGCAGCGCGAGCAGTGCGATTGATGGCACAGCACATAATACACTCCGTACTGTACTGGTACTGGTAGTGCCTCTGTTGCTGCTATTTACTGCGGTCCAAGGTGATGGCAGGGGAAGAGCTGGACAGGACGGCGCAGCGCCAGTCGCCACTGGTAGTTGCTCTGTAGCTGGCAGGCTGGCACAGTTCAGAAGTTACTCGTACCACCATGATCCATGAATGGCTGGATGCCATGCTTTCTCAAGAGGCAGTAACAGCGCACGAGTACTGTAATTGCGACATGAGAGTGAGTTCATCTGTGTGCAATCAGCTGGGCCCGAATAATAATTCGTCTGTTCATGTGTCAGTGGTTCTCTCTCGGCACTGTTTAACGACGCCGAACTGAGGAGGATCAGTTGTTTTTATCGGCGACGATGGCAACGTATCACTTACTGTCAGGAACACTGTGGATGGCGTGCATTTATACGAAATGGGCTTGACAGAATTATGCGGAGGCAAATGAACCCACATGTGAGTGTCCCGTTTGGCAGCTGCTTCTTGGGCCATTTGGGCTAATGCAAGCTCCTAGACACCAGAAGAGGCCATTGACAGATTGTGGTAGCTCTGCACTAGCAATGGGTTTGGGAAGGTCTCCAATCTGAAGGAATAAAAACCAAATGTTTCGTCAGCAAATTCGCATTTGACCTGAATTTTTCCTCTCAATATGGCAGCAAATGAAACTGCATTCATATTTAGCAAGTGATATATGCTGAGCTGCCCTGGGCACAGCTCAGGTGGTGCAGTGCAGCCAGATAATCATGCCATTAATGCATTTCCAAACATATGAGCCAATGACAGTCAATATGTTAAATGTTGAATGTTTCATATCCATGGTAGCTTTCACTGTGATATTGACTGGCAATCTGGCATGCACAAACAGCTTTTGTTCCAGCTTGAATGGATACTGATGTTGCTGGCTAAGCAATTTTGATGGTGAGAGATCTTACCTGTGTATATATAAATGACTGCTCCATTCTATTGATTTCCATGTTAACTTGCTAGTATTATTTCTTCTTCGGTTGCAGTGATCATGCAGAGAATTCTGCGCAGCGCCTGAATGTCTCATAGCATCAGCAGAGAAACAAGAACCATATGAAGAGATGCTCGAAGAGGCACATTTCTCTCCTACATGATATTGGTGAGATCATTAGGCCCTGCAGGTCAGATTATGAAAATCAACTGCTGTGTTTGTTTAGTAGTACTTCCTCCGTTTCATAATGTAAGACTTTTTAGCATTACCCACATTTATATAAATGTTAATGATCTATACTCACATATATGTCTAGATTCATTAACATTCATATGAATATGGACAATGCTAGAAAGTCTTATGTTATGAAACGGAGGGAGTAATAGATTGTATACTTAATCCAGTCTCCAAGTTGGAGCCTACCCATGAACAAATTTGTGCAGGATGACTCTGTTGCTTGGCCCCCTTGGATCTGGAAAGACAATTCTACGCTAGCTTTGGCAGGGAAAATTGGTTCAAGTCTGAAGTTATCAAATCTACACAAGTTTTTTTTTCTGGTAAGGAAAAGATAATATTACTCAAGGGAACAATTACACTATGGAGCACTAACACGCTCAAGACAATATACACACATTTTCCTCGGTTAGGTTGATTTGCACTTCATGGAAAAAACAATTATTCCAGAGGACTACTAATTACATGTGGTACAAATCTTCAGAAAACAAAATTGTAATATGGGTGTGCCAGTTTTTTGGGGAAATTTAAGGTTACTGGAAGGGTAACTTACAATGGGCATGAGAATATGACATGGATGATGAGTTAGCTTGTCCCTCAGAGGACATCAGCTTAAATTGGGCATCATGATCTTCACACTGGAGAAATGACAGTCCGGGAAACACTGGCACTCTCTGCAAGATATCAAGGAGTTGGAACACGTTACGGTATGCAACCTGTACACCGAAGGAAAAACATACAAATTCACCTTTTGATAAGTTGAATATTATTTCAATCTAAAATTTACAGACAAGCTTGCTGAACTCTCAAGAAGTGGGGAAAGAAGCTAACATGTGAAAGTAGTGTCGACCACGAACAACAAAAGATTATATTTGTTTTTTTTCGCCGGGCAAGATTATATTTGTCGGAGCAAACGTTTTCAAATCCACCAGACCAGACCACCACAACATTAGTAAGAAATACTCCACTTCAACAATTTTAGCAGATACGGCGTACTCCTTACATCTTGAACCAGCGCCATCTGAAAGCACCACCTCAGGGGCAATGCACGCCATGACTCCAACCTCAAAAACCAATGCTAGCTGAATAAAATTGCGGAAGAGCGCTTACTTACGTTCATCGTTGGGAAGGGGGGGGGGGGTTGGGACGCGCTGACGGCGGAGAGAGCCCCGCCGGCAGGTGTCGCCGCCTCGCCGGAGCCGGCGACTGGAACCGCCATTGGACGGGGGAATCCGAATCCCTAGGTGAGGCCCTAATTGATTTGAGGCCCAAGAACATGGGAGGAATTCCGTTCGAGGCCTTACATTCACATACGGCCCATGAGGAAGCTTCACACTGGGCCACTTTCTAATGGGCCTCTGAGTAGCACGGCCCAATACTCCCTTTGTTCTAATGCGACGCTGTCAGACTGAAACTACGCTGAAGAAATCTCAATCTCTCGGTCGATTTTTACCACCCGATGTTATCCCTTCAACCGAATGAATGGATTACGGATCTAACTCATCTGTACTTGCCACACACACACAGGATGAACTGAATAACTATGAATGCTCCGGATATTGCTGTTAGCTGCCAGGCAAGCCATTCATCACCAAAATGATGGGAACAATTCATGCTCTCTCTGTCCCTCTCTCTCCCGGTCTGCAGCGGCAGCCAGCCAGGGTTTCATTACGACAGAAACCTGAAAAAGAAGAAAAACGTCAGCACTTGAGAGAGCATGGGGTTGGGTGACACTGCCACGTGAATGCGGTTGCATTTGGGCCGGAATTACCTGTGCTTGGGTTTTGCCTGCCATGTGACCCGCCTCGTTTCGTTTCACCCTTGCTCGGCCCGATCGATTTGCAGCTCTGCACATGCTCTTGTCCGGCCACCATGGTAGTAAGCTATGCTATGTTAGTATAGGAACCCTTTTGGAGCTGTTCCAACGCAGATGGTGCCACTCCAGTTTTGGGCCAAAATAATGGAGCCTGACATTGGTTCTAAATGAAACTATGGTATGTTTGAGAGAGCTTTTGGCAGCTGCAACCTCTTTCAAAATCAAAAGCTCTCCAAACAATACAACTTTTCATTAAGATTTTGTGAATGATTTTTCTTGAGTAAAATACACCAGCAGTCCTTAAACTTGTCGGGAGGTTTCACCTAGGTCCACGAACTTACAAAGCACATATCGAGATCCCTAAATTTGGTTTATTGTATCATCCAGGTCCAAAGCCACTTTTGACCGTGGTCTTACCTACGTGACACGCTACGTGGACGATGACATGATTTTTTTTATTTTTTTCTCTCTTATCCCTTCTTTTTTCTCTTTCTATGAAAAGACGATGACATGGACGATGATGTGTACGAGGCATTTTCGTCTTTTCGACAAGGAAGAAAGAGAAAAAAAAGGAAGAAGGGAGAAAAAACAAAAAAAAAATCCATGTCATCGTCCACGTGGCGTGCCACGTAGGTAAGACCACGGTCAAACGCAGCTTTGGACCGGGATGATACAATAAATCAAGTTTAGGGACCTCGATGTGCGCTTTACAAGTTCGTGGACCTAAGTGAAATCTTCTGACAAGTTTAAGAACCGCTGGTGCATTTTACTCATTTTTCTTCTTAGCAGCTGCAACCTCCCTCAGAATCATAAACTCTCCAAATAGTACATCTTATCATTTAGATTCTGTGTTAATGGTTTTCCTTACGGCTTATCGAAATATATTTGAATGAAATTTTCGGCAGATGAAGACATTCCTATGCTTGCATCATCAATGCAACTGGACCAAAAAAACTAAAAAGAGGGAGAATGACGTCAAAATTGGACCCCGGAAGAAAAAAAACTCACAGAAATGTAGAATGTGACACATTACGACATATTCTGTCACGACCCATTTTCTGGCCGCATAGGACAGTCATGCACAACGCAAACGGCGACACGTAAGTTTTGCAGGCGCGACGCGCATCTGGCAAAGCCAATTTCGCCCTTAAAAACCAAGGGCGCGCAACGGCTCGTCGCGTGGAGAGCAACGCTCGCTGCGACCTGCGACGCCGCCCCGCGCCAACTTCTCTCCCTCCCACCTCCACCACCTCCTCCTCCTCCTCCTCCTCTCCTACAGCGCCACAATGCCGCGCGCCCGCGTCGTCCACGTCATGCTCCTCCTCTTCGTCGCGCTCGGCGCGTGCCGTGCCACCCACAACATCACCGCCATCCTCGCCGACCACCGCGACCTCGCCGAGTTCGGCCGCCAGCTCACGGCCACGGGCCTCGCGGACGACATCGACGGGCGCAACACCATCACGGTGCTCGCCGTCGACGACGCCCACATGGCGCAGCTCAGGGCGCGCGGGCTCCCGCGCGAGGCGCTGCGCCACGTGCTCTCGCTGCACGTCCTCGTCGACTACTACGACGACGCCAAGCTGCACCGCCTCCCCGGCGGCTCCGCGGTCGTGTCCACGCTGTTCCAGGCGTCGGGCGACGCGCCCGGGAGCGAGGGGATGGTGAAGATCGCCGTGCGCCGCGGCGGCCGCGTCGCGTTCGTGCCCCAGGACGTCGACGACGCCCGGGCCAACGTGTTCTACGTCAAGTCCGTGCACGAGGCGCCCTACAACATCTCCGTGCTGCAGGTCAGCGCCGTGATCACGTCCCCGGCCGCCGAGGCGCCGTCGTCGGCGACGGAGTCGAAGCCCAACTCTACGGACGCCTCGTCCAAGCACGGGCCGCCGAATGCTGGTGCACACGCTGCACCGTCGCCGGTGGGGCAAGGTTCGTCGTCCGACGACGGCGCCGACGAGGGGAAGAAATCCGGCGACGGAGGAGATGGTGGCAAGAAGAACGGCGCCAGCGTCGGCGCGGCACCGCGTGGGCTACCCTTCGCTCTGGCGTTTCTCATGGCTGCCAGTGCCATCCTCGTGGTGAATTGGTGATCGTGTGAAACTGTGAAGTTGATCACCAACGTTGTCTTGTGAAATTCATTTTGGGTGAATTTGCACGTTTCTGTGCCACTTTTGTTGGGGATTTCGTGAGTTTTTCCACTGTTAGGTACCTTAGGTTCATGGTGCATTGGTGCTTGGAAATGTGTTGAATTGTGGTTTGCAAGTTAGTAGTACCATTTTGTGTCGTCAACTTAATTTGCACGCGAACGTATGATCATTCATCAGCTGTATTCTGAGTCCAAAACTCCAAGTCGAATTATGTAATGATCTGATCAAACTGAAATGCATCTGTTCTTCAGATATGCATATACGTGAACGGGAAAATGACTCTGCATGCAGCTGTAGACATGTAAAATGCAGTCTTACCAAATTGTCTTTCTGCTGCACGCGTCTTCTGCGCAAGATTACAACGTGAGAGGTGAAACAAAAAGAAGATTACTGTTAAATCAAGCTTGCTACTGAACAGATATGCATCAAAAGAACAAATCAAATTCCAAACTGAATGCGCCTATGCGTTTCTGAAACAAGATGCCTGACACCCACAAGAACACTACTGTCAGTATAGCACCAAGCAGTGCAACTCAAGTACTCAACCGTAGCTTTTGCCCAGATCAGGCTCAGCAACCTTTGCTGCTAGCCAATAGCCACTGCCCACTGGTCACTTCACTTGTATCAGTAGCATCTTCCTGTACAGCGAAGCACATGCTTGCCTTCCATGCACGGACGAGCCAAAGCTGCCCATGCATGGACGAGTGCATCAGTTCGGGAAGCAGAATTCAAAGATCATGACAAAGCGTAGCTAGGCCTAGCTAAGACGGTCTTTTCCTTCTTCCTTTCGATCCTTTCCTTGCGTTTTTTTCCCCTTCTTCCTTTCGATCTTTTTCCTCACGCTGTTCGTCGAAAGTATCTAGATCTGAGGCGAGGTACGAATGTTATTACTACAGCTGGGCTGCAGAAACTGAAGGGGAAACTGATCACCGACTCCTAGTTATCTTTCCTTTCCTTTGCAGCCAGATTGAGCAAATCAGCAAGGCTGCAACTGCAAGCCTGCAAAGAACGCATCTCCGGTCTTAATTTGCTTGCCTGGTACGTTTTGGATCTTGCTAAAAGGGCACTGCAAGAGCTGGGAGAGTAGTAGTATACACAATAGTCAGCAGTAAACAGAGTAACAGAGAGCATGCGATCTTTGCTTAAAGAAGTGCAAGTAGGAGTGTGGTAAAGAGATCAAAGCGAAGCAAAGTGGTTCCTGCAAACCGAGCTGGACTGTGCATGGATCGGATTAGGATTATACGGAAAGATGAACACGTTAGAACGTAGTAGAAGATGTGAGCACCGGCTTTAGCTGCCTTCCTACTCTCCCTTTTTTGATACGGTGTACTAGGTAGACATATGGTTTACTTTCTCCGGGGATGTAAGTACCGCAACACAGAGATCATGAAAACATTGGACATGCATAAACTTGTTATGCATAAACTTGGAGTAGTAGTCTATTATACATTCAAAAATGGACAGTTTTCGTTTTGAACTCTTGATTCAGTTTTACAAGTAAAGCTCGAGCCTCAATTCTCAAAAACAGACATGACAGTGCGCTAGTACTCCCTTCGTTTCATATTATAAAATGTTTTGACTTTTCCTTTCTAATCAAACTTATTTAAATTTAGTCAAGATTATAGAAAAATATAGTAACATTTTTTTACCCAAAACATACTATTAACATATATTCAATCAATGTCAAATTTAATAAAACTAATTTGATGCTATAGATGTTTGCTAATTTTTTCTATAATTTAATTGAAATTAAATAAGCTTAATTAGGAAAAAGTAAAAAACATATTATAATATGTAACGGTGAGAGCTATGGTTCCAACCCACGTCATTTGTCCAAGGTAGATACAAAACGACGATCTCCCCACAAAACCTACTTTTGAGTTTTGATCTTATTTCAACGTATGTGGGTCAAAATAATGGTCAAACTAGGTAGAGGCATGAAGCCTATCTAGCTTTGAGAATCCTAACTTACTATAAAATTATAATCCACTAATTTTAAAACTCATACCACCTCATCATCCACTAGCAATAATTACATGCAAAACCTATGCAAGCGTAATCTATAATTCATTGAATTCTACGAATCAACATCCAATCATCTTCCTTCACATTATTTTTCACAAAATTTTTTAACATGTATATATCCATCATTTTCATAGTCCTCTCTCTCTCTCTCTATATATATAGAGTAAGACTATTCAATACCCCCTCACGATTCCCCCCCACCCCACGCGCCTCCTCGAGATTCCTCCTCCCCCCACCTCTCCCTTTTTTTTTTCTCCCGATCCCACCTCCACCCCTCCCCTTTTTTGAGAGAGAAAAAAATAAAAGAAAAATTTGCCTTCAATGGGAATAGAACTCAAGACCTTTAATTCAAATTACCATATGGCACTAACCAGTAGGCTATTTCTCAATTGTGAGAGAGTTTTCTTAGTAAAAATTTATCTTCTCATACGTGCTAAATCCTTGTAGTATTTGGCACAGAACATGTAGTAACGATACGCGTCCGGTTACTACAAAATATATATGTTGTTATTATAGTCAAGTGACTGGTATTACTGGGTTAAAGCCTCACATACTAACTATATACTTGTTATTGCACAAAAGTAGAAGTGTTACTACATGATAGGTGCATGTTACCACTTCCAAGTAGCTATGTTACTGTATGATAATGTAGTTTTACTATGTCATGTTTAAGAGATAAGGATCGAATAGGTGGGTTATAGGTAAAGTCTGTTGATGGCTTTGAGCGAGGTCTGATTGATGTAGGAGTGTTTTGAACAATTTTATACATTTGGTAAAACCATGTTACTGCATATATAGGCCCTTGTTACTGCAAGTTACACATTCTGTTATGGTATGTGGAGGATTAAAGTTCAAAATGCCAGTTTTTGAAAAGCAATATCTCACAAGATATGTATTATTTTTTAAAACCGTTTTCACAATGATACTGTAGTGCATGTGGAGGTTTAAACTTCAAAATGCATCTACATATTCTCCTCCTTAAGAAATCGCTCTTCCTCCTTCTTCTTAAGAAAACCGGTCTCCTCCCTCCAATATAGTGTTACTGCATGCATGTATATGACGTTACTGCACTTTTGACAGTAATATTGATGTGAATTACACTAAACCAGAAATTGAAATAAAAATATATGGGTTCAAATTCTTAGATTCTAACCATATACTTGTTACTGCACAAAAGCAAAAGTGTTACTGAACGGCATATACACGTTACCACCTGACAATTACACATTACCGCATGTTTACGTAGTAACACTATCCAATAACTACAGTAAAACACTTTGTTACTGTAGAACATATATAACGTTACTGTACCTTTGGCAGTAACATCATGGTGAAATTATAGTAAACCAGAAATCAAAAGAAAAATATGGGTTAAAAGTCTCACATGCTAAATATACATGTTACCGTACAAAGTGGAAGTGTTACTACATGGCAGGTACACGTTACCACATGTTTATACAGTAACACTATTCATAAATTGCAGTAAGACGCATTGTTACTACAAAACTTATGGTTTTTACTACACACTTACAGTAACGTCGCGATGGGATTGTAGTAACGCATAACAGATAGTACTAACAAGTAGTAATGCTATAGTATTGCTACTTGTGGAGAGTTAAGATCAAAAAACCCAAGCTTCGAATAACAATATCTCTCATGTGATGTATGATTTTTTAAAACCGTTTGCACCATGATGTTAGAAAAAAATGCTTATCAAAAATAGATCCGTCATGACTATATTTCAACTAAATTTGAATGTTGTTACTGCACGTAAGACACAGTGTTACTGCACGATGGCTGTCGCTTTACTGCACTGTTTCGCAAGACGAGAGCTGAGAAGAGGTGGGTGGTGGGGGAGTTGGTAGGCAGTTTGACCGGGTTTTGACCGACGTCGGGGGTGCTTTGACTGACCTTTGACTGAGGTGGGAGGTGGGTTTGGCCCTTGGGAGGGAGGGGGGGATATAGAATAGCTATTCTATACCCGGGTGTAGAATAGTTTGTGTATGTGTGTGTGTGTGTATATATATATATATATAAAATCAAAGTGTGGGATATTATATTTCATGTACAATCTCATAAAGAGTCTACTAAATATACTTCTCTCTGAATATAGTTTGACAAATTAGTTTTGTGTGTTGCTAATAACTAATATAATTTTTTACTTTTAGCTCGATTATTACTTAGGAATTTCCGCAGCAAAGTGCGGGGAATCACCTAGTTAATTAAAGAATTGAGTCCTCATAAAATACCTTTTCAATATGGCCTGAATCATTGTTTGGTTTTTTGGCCTTCTGTTCTATTTGGTCCAAAAGGCCATCTTTCTAAGTTGGACTGGGCCCATGGTTTCGTTATGGGCCAAAAACAACAATAGCATTTTGTTTTATTCTCCCCTTTTGAAAACAGTATGCAGGGGTGATGCTTGTTCATTATAAGAGGCAAAGGGTAGCATATGATATATAAGTTTATAATTTATTATAGATGACAACCTCAAAGGTAACTATCGTTGACATATGTAAATTATGCTACATTACAAAAGAAATAATGTGAACATTGACATTGGTACATACGTGGACATTATCTATAATTATAGACTGACATCTACATTCCCTATGGTTATCAATCGGAATGTCGGCTCTTGTAGCCTTGTGAACATACGTACTCTCTCGCACTATATGTGCATTGATGTGAATCCTCCAATTTGCTATAGGAATGTCGTAGGTTTGAGTAGCCTATGTATTCATTGTCAGCAAATGCGCACCGTGAACTCTTTACGTCAGAGGATCTACGTCAGTCCGCTAGTACGCTCATGACATATTCCCCCTGTTTTTGAAGATGCGGTTAGTTACTCCTTCTGTACACTCCATAAAATGTGCTATCCTACAATACATTCCCCGCTTCAATGTATGAGATATTTTTCCCCATTTTGTTAGAAAATACTTAAGCAATATGTTCCAAATATAATGTTATATTGGGTTGATGTTGTGTTAAAATGGAGTGGTTAAGCATGAGCCTTCATTTCCCTCATAACTGTTTTTTTAGAACTCCTCGCAACTGTTGCACTCAACAATTTCATTTTCCTTCCTGTTATTCAATTAAGGTTCTCCTTAAAAATAAGTCTTTCATGAATAATTTAGTATTTTGAAGGTACTATTGAAAGAATTATTTGGAGATGTCTAATGCTTGAATGATAAGTAATTTGGAAGGCATCTACTCCTACAAAGTTGAATCTTCTAAATACTCCTTCGCTTTTAAATATACGGCATTGTTAACTTTTGAATATGACAATATTTAACAATTTATCTTGTACAAAGATTTAGTGCAAATATGCACAATGCGTAAAGTACCTTTAATGTAAAACAAGCCACAACAAAACAAATGATACTTAGAGCATTTTTTAATAAGCCGATTGGTCGCATCATGTTTAAAAGTCAACCATGTCATATATAAAAAAAGGGAGATAGTTTCATACATAGCTCTAATATATTTTGAAGGTACTAAATTTTAAAAATTGTTGTTGCAGATTGTAAGTCTTGCATATAATTTATTGTTTCTTTTACTTAGCTTATTAGCTCTAATTAATCACACCCTATCTCTCCTATATTTATATAATAAAAACATCCCGACACACCAACGTACATTTTCTCATCTATTTCTAAGGTATGGATGGTATTGTCATGTCAACTTATCTTCTTTCTAGTTATGCACCCTCCTTAATTATTGTACCAACTTAAAATAAGCCATATATTTTGAAATTATCATACCAACTCACAATATGCCATATATTTTAAAATTATTATGTCAACTCACAATATGCTATATATTTTGATATTATCGTGCCAACTCACAATATACCATATATTTTGAAATGAAGGTCATATTTAAGATGTAGAGTAAATGTATGAAATCCTCCCATCCATATCCTCATTATTAATTGCTTCCACCTACCCCAAGCATTTATAGTTAGAGTAGAACAGTTGTGCTCTTGCACCGAAGGGATGACATGTAGGAGCCATGCCTACGTCCCCTGGCCACCCAAGCCCGTTGAATTAACATGGTCCCTCAACAGAAACATCCATTTTTGATGGTGTGCTTCCTTCTTGGCGACCTTACTGGTAGGTGACATGCTAACAAAAACTGCACAGTCATGCAAGGCAGGGGCCGGTCAAAATTGAAGTCCCTCCTACCTTGATTGTAACGCTAATACTATGGCTCACCGCCTCTGCGGCAATCTGGCAGCCACTTCTCCTCCTCTTGGTGCCACAGCTGCACCTTTGACGTGGCTGGCTGCTTGCATTTGTCCAAGCCGGCGCAGCCCTGATGTAAGTCCTTTGGTATAAATACTGCCCAAGCATAGAGCGAGAGAGAGCCATCACAATCCAATACAAGTTCACAACATAAGCATAGTACAGGTCATTGAGACTTGAGAGAGCATGGCAGGGAACAAAAAGCGTGGTATAGTAGTATAGTCAGTACTAGGATTAGTACTTGATAACTAGCACAACAAAAAGCTACTATCATTTTTGCATTCAAAGTGGTAATTAAGAATCGGATGATCATTTTGATTGTTCCTCTTCATTTGTTTTGGATGTCAGGTGGCAGGAACATGGATCAGGTCAAGAAGGCGGCAGTGAGATCGGATGGGGTGGGAGGTAGTGCGACCAACGCCGAGCTGCCGATGGCCAACCTCGTACGCCTGATAAAGAAGGTGCTCCCAGGGAAAGCGAAGATCGGGGGAGCAGCCAAGGGTCTCACCCATGATTGCGCGGTGGAGTTCGTCGGGTTCGTCGGCGACGAGGCCTCCGAGAAGGCCAAGGCAGAGCACCGCCGCACCGTAGCGCCGGAAGACTACTTGGGCTCATTCGGCGACCTTGGCTTCGATCGCTACGTCGACCCCATGGATGCCTACATCCATGGTTACCGTGAGTTTGAGAGGGCTGGTGGGAATAGGAGGGTGGCGCCGCCTCCTCCGGCGGCAGCTACACCGCTGACGCCCGGTGGACCGACATTCACTGACGCAGAGCTGCAGTTTCTCCGGTCGGTGATCCCCTCCAGAAGTGATGATGAATATAGCGGCTCATCACCAGCCATAGGCGGCTATGGCTATGGATATGGCTATGGAAAAAATATGTGAACAACTTGATGCATGTGTGTGTGTACACTGCATGCATGCGTGGAGGGTCAAACAGAGTCAAGACTCTTGTGGTGGTTTCAATAAGTCTCTAGTGACAATATAAGTTGTGTATCGTTGTTTCCTTTGTAAAAAAAAACGTCATGTATCGTTGTGTGTCCTCATCCGGTAATCCTTTACGTGGGTGGGTTATGCGAGAAAAAGAAAATGACGTTGCATCAAATAAAATGCTTGATGTTTGCGTATTTACTGTATCCATTGCATGTGTGTTAAAATCATATCGCAAATTCAACTATCCTGTGCGTTTATTCTCACTGGTGGAGAAAACGTTTGTAGTCCCAGTTTGTAACCCCCCTTTAGTCTTGGTTTTCAAACCGGGACTACCAATCTGGGACTAAAGATCGCTATCTTTAGTCCCGGGTGAAATAACCGGGACTAAATATCGATCTTTAGTCCCTGTTGGTGTCTAAAGATCGAGCTGACATTTTGTTTTTTTTTGCATGGCCTTGTTGCTGCATGGTTTATATATATATATATATATATATATATATATATATATATATATATTATTTATATATGTTTCAAACATATACATGCATAATATATATGTATTTATACATATATATGTTATGCAAATGCATATATGTGTGTGTATGACCAAAATATATATTTACATTAAAGAAAATGTGTACATGCATATAGAAAAATAGACATGTATTAATTACAATCCATTATGATGTCCTAGCTAGCTACAATTTCGACGTAGTAGTAGTCGTTATCTCAGAAGCTAAGGACCTATGAATTGTATTTCCATCGTAGTAGAATTCACCCTTGGGATCAAGGATTTGTTCGTTGATGAATCCCATGAGTTGTTCTTGAACTGCCGCGATAAATTCCTTGTGTGTGATCAGGTTATCCCTCATGCGAATAAACTATATGAATGTATGAAATTAATTAGTAATTAAACAACAAATCGATACGTACGCAATGAAATTTTGAATTTATTTGTACGTACATCGAGCTCTCTTGTGGTGATGATTTGGTCTGCAAGGCAGTGGCAATACTCGCACACGTAGTAGCCGCACAAGTTAGTTCCCTGCTTTTGCTTTGCGCACTATAAATAAATGACAAACGGCGAGAGATCTAATTAATATACACTTGTATGTATTTGAATTGGAGATTGAATATAAATGTAGAGCATGTGTACTCACAGGAAAATTGAACTTCCGTCTAAGTCTTTCTCTCCATTTGCCACGGACCAAATGGCGGAACCTATACCAAGCCCTACATAGAGTTTAAAGCTATGATTCGTAGTAGCAATTAATTATAACAAGATTCTTAATTAACATAGGAACTTATGACAGTACCTGTCTATAAGTTCAAAAACCTTGTCAAACATAGACTCTTTTTTATCCATTGAGTCATATACGTTGACGGTGCAGGCCTCCAGGTCGAAGAGTAAAAGGACCCAGTGGAATCTGCAATGTGCGTGGGATGCATTACATATGAAACACTTAGCATGTTCGTACGGGAATGAAATTTGTTATAGCAAGACAGTAAAAACTAACTCTGTGTTGTACGGCAATAGTATGAATGTCTTGTAATGCTGCGCCTTCAGGAGATGGACGAGATTGTCCTCTGTGGCTTGCGGATACTGGTCGAGTATTGCGACGTTTACTTTCCGAGGGTCGATGAATCTAGTATCGAAAACCCCTCGCTGTCGGGCCCTTTGAATCTCCATTCTACAACGATAAAAGGAAGTATATATTATATATAGTCTACTTATATACAAGGACCTAATTAATTAAAGGAAACGTAATAAGAAATCTAACTGAACGATACTTACAAAATCCAGCAACTCATAATAGAGACGTCGAGGGCGTCCAGCTGGTATAGTTCGTAGATACCCTTGAAATTGATCTAGAGAATGTCATCTCCTTGCAAGAAGTCCGTGTCCCTGATCCTCGCTCCGATCATCCCTCTACCGGTGGCGCTCATCTCCATGTACAGTTGATGGAACTTGTACATTTGTGTGGGTAGGGACTGCAGCTGCTCAGGCTTGACAAACGGTTTACCGAATTCGTACATGTATTTCACTTCCGCCTTTTCGATTGGTGCGCCTCGTAGCAATTGATCCGTATTAGAACTATGCTAACTCAAACAATCTTATATGCTAAGTTTTATTACAAATCTAATAATCTTATACTATGCTAAGTCTAAGTGTCGTATAACCCTAGGTAATCATATATGCTAAGTCGTCTAAGTGTCGTACATTACAAACCTAGATAATCATATATGCTAAGTCTAAGTGTCGTATATTAAATCTAATAGTCTTAATTGCATTAAAAATCTAATAATCATATATTTACATCACTTGCCTGCGCGAATTCCTTCGAGGGCTATCTACCACTCCGGCTTGAGGGACGATGACGACAACGTCTTTTCTGCAACATACAAAAAGATGTATTAGGATAAACGCAAAGTAACATATATTGTATTTCACGTTCGCGTTCTTGTTAAGTTCACATTTCGTTCACGATCATTCACGTTCGCGTTCTCGTTAAGTTCATGTTTCGTTCACCTACGTTCGTTCGTTCACGTGCATTCACGTTAACGTACGTTAAGTTCATGTTCGCGTTCTTGTTAACTTCACTTTTCGTTCACGCACGTTCGTTCGTTTACGTACGTTCACATACAACGTTAAGTTCACGTTCGTTCACGTTCACGTTAGGTTCACATTCGTTCACGTTCACGTACGTTCATTCGTTCACGTTCTCATTCACGTACGTTTCGTTCGTTCACGTTCGTTCACGTTCGTTCGTTCGTTTACGTTCGTTCGTTCGTTCACGTTCACGTACATATCGTTCGTTCACGATCGTTCTTCGTTCGTTCACGTGGCGGCAATGGAGCGGCGGTGTGGCGGCAGCAGAGCGGCGGCGTGGCGGCGCGGCTACGGCTTGGCGCGACGGCGGCGTGGCGGCGCGGCATCGGCGTGGCGCGGCGGCGACGAAGCGCGCGACGTGGCAGTGGCGGCGTGCGCGGCGGCGGCGTGGCGGCGCGGCGGTGGCGTGCCGCGGCGGCGTCGTGGCGTCCCGGCGTCGTGCCGCCACGGCGGCCCGGCGTCGTGGCGCGGCTTCGTCGGCACTGCCGGCGCGACGTCGTCGCCGGTGACGGCCGCATCGAGGTCGGGGTCGGCATCGTCGGCGCGGCGGAGTCATGTTCGGCCGCGACGACGTCGGCGGCGGCGTCGGCAACGAGGCGACCGGCAGTGGTTTGGGGAGAGAGAGAGAGATCGAGGTCGAAGAGAGAGAGAGGGAGGCGGCGGCGGCGGCTATCACCCCAGAGATGCGGCGGCGGCGGAGGCGGCGACGACGACGCGCGCGAGACGACGGCGAGATACGACGGCGGCGGCGGCGCGGAGATGCCCTAGGCAGTGGCGGCGAAGGAGAAGCCGAGAGAGATCGATCGGGGAAAAAACTTCTAAGTGTTGGTGGAGAATACGAGGGCGCGTATCGGGAATATATATACCCCTAGATCTTCTCAACAACCGGGAGTAAAGATATCTTTACTTCCGGTTGTTGAGAACAACATATCTTTACTCCTGGTTGTTCTCATCAACCGGGACTAAAGATATTTTCCCGCTATTTCCAAATTCTTTTTAAACCCGGTTAGGGTTAAGAACCGAGACTACTGATAAGCGCACTGAATATTAATTTCCATTACATATGTGTTTCTAAAATAGAAAATAATGCATTAAAATTATTTAAAGTCGAAAAATTAATGACAATTACTTCGAAACATTATTGTTGTATGTAGTAAATTAAGTGGATAAAACGTAATAAGCAAATATATGATTTAAAATTAATAAAAATTCTAATAATCATATATACTTAGCATATGAATGACATTAAATTGTTAAAAATTGTAATTAACATATGTATATACATACGACATGCATGATTTAAAATTAATAAAAATTATAATAATCTTATATAATTAGCATATGAATGATATTAAATTGTTAAAAATTGTAATTAACATATGTATATACATACGACATGCATGATTTAAAATTAATAAAAGTTCTAATAATCATATATAATTAGCATATGAATGATATTAAATTAATTGTTAAAAACTATAATTAACATATGTAAATGCCACATGCATGATTTAAAACTTTTAAAAATTCTAATTATCGCATATAACTAGCATATGCATGATTTAAAATTGTTAAAACTCTAAGTATCATATGTAATTGCCACATGCATGATTTAAAACTTTTAAAAATTCTAATTATCGCATATAACTAGCATATGCATGATTTAAAATTGTTAAAAACTCTAAGTATCATATGTAAATGCCACATGCATGATTTAAAACTTTTAAAAATTCTAATTATCGCATATATCTAGCAATTACATGATTTAAAATTGTTAAAACCTCTAATAATCGTACGTAATTAACATATGCAATACAACAATTGATTTATATGGATAATTAATACATCTAAAATAGTTTACATCGTGTACACAATAATTACGGTAATACATTGGCGGTGACGGTTGACCGCACGTACTTTCTCCTCACTATTGTTCCCTCCTTCTGATCGCTACGTGAGTAAGGGGTGTCTTCATTTGATAGGAGGATGCTAGGGTCAATCGTCACCGTGAAAGGGGGTTGCCCATCCAACTGATAATAATCCTCATCAGTCTTGTCCTCAACTCCGACGATTTTTCTTTTGCCTGGGAGAACCACGTGACGCTTCGGCTCGTCAGGCCCTCTGCCCTTCTTTCCTTTGCTAGACATGTCCTTCACGTAAAAGACTTGCGTTACATCATTGGCAAGGACAAAAGGTTTGTCCGAGTATCCAACCTAGTTAAGGTCAACCGTTGTCATCCCACTGTCATCAATCATTACGCCTCCACCAGTCAACCTAACCTATTGGCACCGGAACAGAGGGACCTTGAGAGGACCATAGTCAAGTTCCCATATGTCCTCGATGGCACCGTAATACGTGCCAGTTGTTCCATCGTGTCCCATGGCATCGATACGAACAACGCTGTTTTGGTTCGTGCTCTTCATGTCTTGGGCTCTTGTGTAGAATGTGTACCCATTGATCTCATATCCCTGGAATGTTGCGATCGACCCAGATGGTCCCCTCGCCAGGAAGGCCAGTTGTTGGTTGATCGTCTCGTTACCCATGAGATGTTGTCGTAGCCACGCGGGGAAAGTATCAATGTAA